GTTTGGACTCAGGCAAATCAATTAGCTTCAATCTCATCAGCTCCTCAAACATGGGAGGAACGTCGGAGTCTAAGAAAGGGTACTTCTTTTCCAACATCTCTTCTAGAAATGGTTTAACACGTTTTGACGCCTCCAAGTCGACCCTAGGAACTTGCTTCGAATTTTGAGTGAAGATCTTAACAGGTGCAGTCTTAGCGACCATTGCTTCTTTCTTTTCAAACTTAGAAAAGGGTTTGCCCCCATTTTTGGAATCTTGTTGTTCAACCGCATTATTGACGGGATACATACCCACAGTTTTCCTTCTACTACTCGTAATGCTCAACTCCATGTTACGAGCTTTGCTTGCTAGCTCATCAAAAGTGTTTGGATTGACTCCTTTGAGAATGTAGCACAATTCCCAATGCATTCCTTCAATGCACATATCGATAGCGGAGCTTGTAGAGATTCGTTCTTTGCAGTTTAGAGCAAGATCCCTCCAACGCTCTATGTAAGCTATCACAGATTCATCTTTCCATTGGCGAGTAGTTGTTAGTTCGAGTAAACTGACCACCCTCCTTGTGCTATAGAAACGGTTTAAGAACTCACGTTCCATGTCTTGCCAGCTATCAATGGAACCGGGCTCCAAGTCAGTATACCAGTCAAATGCATTTGCTTTTAGAGATCGCACAAACTGCTTGACAAGGTGATCTCCGCTTGTTCCCGCATTGTTACAAGTCTCTACGAAATGGGCAACATGATGCCTTGGATTTCCTTTCCCATCAAACTGGACGAACTTTGGCGGCTGGTAACCAATGGGCATTTTTAGATTCTCGATCCTTTGCGTGTATGGCTTAACATAGGAGTAAGTAGATTTGCTTCCTTCTATCTTCCCCTTTATGGTTCCCATGATGAAGTCTTTGAGTTGATCAATCGGGATCATGCCCCCAGAGGTTGAGATGTTCTTCCCCGAATCCTCTTGGTGAGGATCATTTTCTTCATGCATTTCAGGATCCTTCTCATGAGTATGACTTGACTCACCTTTCAAGATTTCTACTTTGTTATTCAGATCATTCAACTTTTGGTCTTGAGTTTGCATGAACATACTCATCCCCTCGATGACCTTGGTTAGATGGGCAATTTGTTCTTCCATAGATGTGGTGCTCGTCGTCATGGTGGGCATCACGGTGTAGACATTTGACCATTGTGGAGTAACTCTTCGTGGAGGACTTGACGGGGGAGTAGAGTCTGATCCAGATGATGAACTCTCATCGCTACTTGTCCATTTTGGGGAAGTAACTTCACGTATGGGTGAAGAAAGCTTCTGGGCCATCTCTTGCGCAATTTGAACTCCAACCATCGCACCGGGAGTTGTTCCCGAAGATGACTGCGCAGCTAGGGTTCTTGATCGGCTCCTAGTGATAGGGCCTTGCATATCTTGATTCGAGCTTGATGATGCTCTAGACTTCAAAGTGAACACGGGCGTGCTTGACGCCATTGGTTCGTTTTCCTTGATCAAAGTGAAGAGATGAGAGGTAGAGTTGTCCCACCAGGCGTGCCAAAAATTTGTGAAACAAATTTTAAGTATTTACTTAAAATTGATCGCAAATAATAATATGTGAGAATATAGGGTACAATCTCTAAATATGAATCCTCTGATTCTTCACTTGCAATTTGATATGAATATAATTAAAGAATTTAATTAAAAATTAAATCTTTAATTCTTCAAAAACTTGAACGTTCTTCGGATCTTCGAATCTTCGTTCTTGAGATCTTCGAATCTTCGAACCTTCGTTCTTCGGATCTTCAAATCTTCTTGAATAAAGAATTCAGCTAGAAGGGCCTCCGGTTTTCAAGTGGCTTGATCTTCAACAAAAGGGCCGTTTTATGGCTTGATCTTCTGTTAAAGGGCCTCCCGGGATATATGGCTTGATCTTCAGTTGAATCTCGATTCAATTTTCATATGAATATCTTCAAATCTTCAAAGATTCGTTCTTCATATCTTGGAATCTTCAAAGCTTCGTTCTTCAGATCTTCGAATCTTCAAGCTTCGTTCTTCAGATCTTGGAACGTTCTTCAACTTTTTGCTTTGTTTGATCAAGAATAGATGAAATCACAAAGGATTAATCATATATTCTTGACAAAAACGTGGCTTGATCTCTTCCTCTTCTTCGGAATCCTTCAGAGCCTTTCGGGAGTTCTTCAGAACTTTGCTGCAGCGTTTCTTCGTCTGGAAGTTCTTCTCTCTTTTCTCTCAACTGAGACCCCTATTTATAGGTGTGGAGGGGGTGAAAATATGACCTAGGGTTTTGGAAATTCGTCCATACCCCTTGGGCCCTAATTAAAATGGGCTTTGGGCTCTATTTGCTTGTATTTAATAGCTAGAAAAATCAGCACTTGTTTGATGTATCTGGACAGCCTTTTTAACAAGGTTCAGAGCTATTTTTCATGCACATGGATGGTTTTCTTAACCGGATTCGTTGGCCTCTTTATCAATTGGATCATCCTGCTTATATATTGAGCCACTATTTGATAATGGGCTAAAAAATTAATAGGACCGGTCCATTCTTTTAAAGATTTAATTTATAATTAAATTAATTGGATATTTTGAATAATCCAAATTAATTGAATTAATAAATTTTATCTCAAGAGATCCATGACACTATTTCTTTCTTGATAAAGCCCAACAACCATCACGGTATCAGTCCACTGGAATCTAATGCTGGCCCAGTTGCACTTCAAAAAGACGTAATGATAATATGAATCGGCCCAAATTTTTTTCATATGTCTACAATACTCCCAAAGAATATAAAAAATAATGTATTGCCAATAAATGTATACACTTTTTCTCGCTGTCTATTTCATTATCTAACTTATCTCCCACCTTATAAAGCTATAATCACTCTAGTTTATAAACAATGATGCTGGTTGACTAAAAGTTATTAAAAGAAAGACAAACAATTTAAAATACAAGTCTCTTTAAAGCTTCGGTGGCTTTGGTGGCTATCCATTTTTTGAGTTTTCATCTATTACGAGATAGAAATCATATGATGCTTTTACTTTTTACCTGGCTTATTTTAATGCGAGAACGGATCAAATCGGATTAAAACAGATCACATTTAAAGAGATTAGACCCAACTTCGATAATGGTAAAATAAACATAGATCAGACGTCTATTAAATCACAGACAACATCCCTAATTCCCTACCATTTTCACAGCTGAATAACTTGGAATGCAACTCTATATTTATAGCCAATTCCAATGCTCAACCTTTGCTGATTATAATACATTGAATTTGGCATGTAGGTTGAGAAGCATGGAATCACCTCAGCAGATGTGACTAATCAATAGGCTCAACCGGAACATGCCTGAAATTTCTTTTCCTTTTATATAAGAATAGATAGATATCATTGGTTTCTATTTTTGCTTGTCCAGCTAAAATGCCGATCCAAGGTGAAAATTATTTCGCTTGATTGACCTTTTTATAGGTGAACGAATCACCAACAATAAGGTGGAATGGTATGGGCCACTGCCATGCCTCCGTTTTCCACCAATAAGAATCATGTTAGGCAAAACGCTAGGCAATTGAAACTATAGAATTAGAGCAAACAGTGTTGACCGCCCGTTTAGACCAATAGGATAACTTGAAAATGACCTTCAACTGTTCACACCTCTCAAAGCCTCCAATTGCAACGCACCAATAAGACTGGGGGGAAATTACGCAATAAGCCTCCAAAAGCAACACACACAGACAATGATAGATTTCAGCGGGAACACTGTTCCCTGAAATTCTTTTGCTTTTAGATTAAGGTAGATGTTCAGCTACCCTCATTACAATGAGGGATATCCTATTTATAGGAATGGTAATTAATGTTGTCTTGATGGTTTTGTACGTTACTGACGAGTTGGTCATCCGTTATTGACGGGTTGACCGTACTTTATGACGAATTCAAATCTGTCATAAAGGCTGGTCAATTACATTCAGTACCTTCCTTAATCACATTAAAGAGCTTAATAACGTACAGAAAACGTTACAATATTAAAGAATGAGAATTTTGGACGCTTCATTGATTCCAGTTGTCCGTTATTGGCGGTTTGACGTGACGGTTCCGACCCGTCAGTTTCACAACTCGTCATTAATGTTGGCCAGCTCAAAATGATCAACCTCTTGCCTTAATATCGTTACTAATTGCAATAATAAACACAAATCCTTTACAACAGCCACTGTTAAGCCTCATGAACGTATCATTAACTTCAGTGGTCAACCCTCTTTAATGCAACACAAACCGTCAAATTCTTGCTCTAACACACATAAACTAGACGTTTACTAGACTTGATCAGATCAGGCCAAATCAGGGTCACCACTTGTTATTTACTCCACCCGTCCCGAAAAGGTTGGCCAAATTTTCTTTTTTTGATGTCCCAAAAAGATTTGTCATTTCCATTTAATTTAAGGAATGACTAAAATTATTTCTCGCTCCTCTGCACAAATTTTAACCACACGATTTTTATTTTATTAATCACGTGAAAGTTAACTTTTACGGGGTGAAGATAAAAGTCTGGTCAAATCAGAAAAATTGGAGTCGTGTACTGTTTTCAAGTCGAAAGGTCACGATAAAAAAAGAGAAAAGGGAGAAAAGGGGCAAATAAGGCCACATACTAAGCAAAAAAGATCAAATAAGGCCTTATTTAAGAGGATCTGTGCGGCCGTCGCCATTTGGGGTGGTTCCCAGTGGAATTTTTTAATGAAAGTTTTTGAGCATCTTATTCAGTAAGTCTAGTTTACTCATACCAAATTTTAGCTAAAACTTCAATCGGGAAGTCATTCAAATGAATTCTTGAAAATAACTGTACAGTTAAAAGCGCAGTTATCTTCAAGAATTAATTTGAATGCCTTCCCGGTTGAATTGTTAGCTGAAATTTGGTATGAGTAAACTAGACTTGATGAATAAGATAGTCAAAAAATTTCATCAAAAAATTCCACCTAGAACCTCCCAAATGGCTACGGCCGGACATAGCATCATAAATAAAGGACCTTTTTTTTGTTAGTCGAAAGGTCAGAGCAATCAACCAACTACGTACAGTTTTTTTACAGATAACCATTTAGCTCACGAATTGCTCTTCGTCGCTCATACGCTTTTTGTGTGAATAATAAGAGCATTCTTTTCTCTCATGGCGAAGGCTGAAGAGCGGGGTCGTTCAAGATGGTCTCTTTCTGGGATGACCGCTCTTGTCACTGGAGGCACTCGTGGAATCGGGTACCTTGTAGCCTTTTCTGTTACTGTTTTATTTAATGGAGTACTGCTTTTCGGAAACCATTTATAGGTTTGGCAAAGTTAATTACCAAACAAATCCTTCTGTGTAAAGTTTGATTTTTCTTCGGCTAGGCGCGCAATCGTGGAGGAACTGGCTGAATTGGGCGCCAATGTATACACATGTTCCAGAAAGGAAGATGAACTGAAGCAGAGCCTGGAAGATTGGGCTTCTAAAGGCCTCAAAGTCTCAGGCTCTGTCTGCGAAGCGTCGTCACAAGATCAGCGCCTGCTTCTCTTCCAGAATGTTTCCTCTGCCTTCGACGGCAAGCTCAATATTATGGTGAGTATTCCACTAGAATGCTTTCATTTTAGTTGCGATGTCTACAGAGTCATAAGTGTTCCCAAATCTTAAAAGTATAATGTGGAATAGGGATCTATTTACGAATATTTTTCATACAGGTACATCACACATTTGTTTTCATATATAGGAATTGTTGACATTTTTGTACATGATCAAATACCGAGTAAAACAAATATACTCCCTCCGGATCTTTTTAAACTTCACAGTTTGACCTCACATTGATTAAGGAAATAAATTTGACTTTACTGTAGGGTACACTGTTGAGACACTGTTTGGCACTGTTGAGACACTATTCGGCGCTGTTTAGCACTGTTTTGAAAGTGTGAAATTTAACACATATTTGAAAAATCATACAAGAAATTTTCTTGTATGCTTTGGTATGATCAGGGGACCCTGAGCATGTGTAGGCAGCCCGACCGCACAGGGCCCAGAAAAATCGAAGGCCCAAAAAAAAGAATTCTTTGTATAGTTATTACAAATGTTCTGAGATACGTAGAATTGCAAGCCTGGCCTACGCATGAATAGTACTTTGAATAAACTTTCTGACGGTAGAAGGTGTATATGTACAACAGTAGTGCTATGGACTTTTTCTTATTGGCCGGTGTGGGAAATTGACGTTTGCTTCGTACTAAGCATGCTTATGATACGGAGTGGTACTTGAGATTTTCATTAAGGAGCAAATTGAAGTTTGCTTCCACATTATAATCAAGTTATTCCAAATACAGTACTCTACACAATATTAAATAAATTAATATTCTTTGAAATGATTACAATTTTATGACGACAATAAACAATATTTATACAAATGTGACTTTTTAAATGTAGTGATTATAATAATTTAGTCAAAGTAACTTACATTCAATTTTAAGAATTAAGTGATCATGACATAATACTCTTACTGATTATAGTCAAAATTTTATAATATGTGTTATTTCATTAATATTTTTGAAAAAAATCTCTTGTTATTATTATTATGATTATATTATTATTATTATTATTATTATTATTATTATTATTATTATTATTATTATTATTATTATTATTATTATTATTATTATTATTATTATTATTATTATTATTATTATTATTATTATTATTATTATTATTATTATTATTATTATTATTATTATTATTATTATTATTATTATTATTATTATTATTATTATTATTATTATTATTATTATTATTATTATTATTATTATTATTATATAGTTTCATCATCATGAATACCCTAATTATCATTATTTTTTATTACTCAACTACTTTTTCAAATTCTAGTTTTTGTGTAATAGTCAAATTTATAATGAGTATTTAATATTACACTTGCATACTAAAAACTATCTAGAAAAATTAAAAGAAAGAATAAAATCAAAACGTCATGTCACGTTTGTGCCCTGCCTAGACTTATAGGGCTTAAGACTTAGTCATGGCGCCTTGACACCTCTTTGCGCTTTTTAGAACATTGATTATAACTCATTCAAAATTTGCTCTAAAAGCTGAACATATCTTTTAAAATCAAGTGAATTTGTTAACAAATACAGTTATTTTGACTACTTATTAATTAATAATAATTTATACTTTGACATAAAGTAATACTAATTTATTATTAAAAATATAATATGTTTTTTACTTTATTTAAATAAAAGGCCCAATTTTCCCAGTTGCACAGGGTCCTTGCTTGATTAGGACCGGCCCTGGGTGTGATCTGGCCTTTGTGTAATTTACAACTGTTTAAGTCTGGTCTGGGACTGAAATGAGTCCAAGTAAAAACATCCTTAGGGGAGCTTCTAGTCTTTCTATATAACAATGTTTGGACTTCAACCATGACAAAAAAACTATTCTTCACAGTTCTTACCTTAGAGTTGGACTATGAGACTCGAGCTCAAAATATATCGGCAAATGTTTTGGAAATTAAATTCCTGTTTGATCAAAGATGGGATACTTTTAACACACTCTGGTTTATGCATTTGTAGGATACTTGAGACAATCAATTAAATAACTTGAAGTCTGATTAAACTGACATACATGAGACACATTTCCCTCCACCTCATTCCTGGGATCTTTATTAATATGGGGCAGGTTAACAATGTTGGGACACACATCATGAAGACTACCAATTAGTTTACGGCTGAAGAATACTCTTATCTCATGGCTACCAACTTAGAGTCCTCTTACCATTTTTCTCAACTTGCTTATCCTCTTCTAAAGGCATCCGGAGCTGGATCCATTGTCTTTGTTTCCTCTGTTGCTGGCTTGGTACATGTATCATTTGCTGGATCTATCTATAGCGCTACCAAAGGTGAGCTTTATTAATCACAGTAAATAAAAATTCTGTACATAGGCATATACTTCGTATATTTAAGGTCCCGTTTTGTAGCGTTGAATGGATCATTTGGTTTATCAGAATAAGTAACATTTAACTCACTTAGGCTCCGACACTCCGTTTGGTAGCCTGGTCTGGCTCATTGTAGAATAAACAGAAAAATAATTAGAATAAACAGAATTAGTAGCTTTTGACTTGTTTGACTGAAATTGGTATGATCAAGTGCTTTTCCTGTTAGAGAATTTATCAAATCCAGCCATTTCAGTCAAATAAAACATACCAAACAGGCACCTTGTTTGAATGGAATCAATTACCTATCCCCCCTCCTCCATAGAAAGAGTTTTGTTTTTACCAAGGTATAACTTTTTAGTTTTGGCAAGTACAACTGCTATAAGTATTATAGTTATAGTTTTGACACTTCTTTGATAACTAAACAATTTTGATTATAAGTCAGATTACTAAACATGCCTTTTTGTATTGAATATGCACTTACAGGGGCTATGAACCAACTTACAAAAAATCTGGCTTGTGAATGGGCAAAGGATGCCATTAGGGTTAACTCTGTGGCACCTTGGTATATTAAAACCTCTCTTGTCAAAGAGGTACACAACATTCTTTTCCCTACTTATTGCTTTGTTGAAATTATGCTATATGAGGGTGTTTGTTGACACTTGAAGATTATAGAATGTAATGATACCCCTCCGGTTAATTGCTCTACTCTTTTGTAGGTGGAAGTTTTTAATTCCTGCTACATTTTCCTCTTTCTAAGCGTGAGAATGTGAGATTATCAAATGACATAAATGCTCCTACTTTTTTCATGTTCTTACATATGTTTTCACATTTTATACACAACTCATTAAATATGTGAAAAGCCCATAGGAGCAACTAATAAAAGACGGATGATGTATATGATTAGAAATGTGCGCCTCGTGATGTATTTGATGTTTTTAATGCATTTTATCGACAGTATGATATCTAAAGCTTTCTCCAAAACGAATATTTGAGGCAAATGTTGAGGTTGATTTAGCTCAAAAACTTGTTCTTACTTCATTGTATCCTAATATCCTATCATCTTTCTGTCTTTTGCGAAAAATCCGAATGATAAATGGTTTCATTTGTAATTTTCGGCAATATCGAGGATGATTTGTAAATTGATCATTTGGCCAAGCCTGGGAAGATGTAACTATCCGTAAATCAAAGGGAAAAAGAACCAGTTTTTTAAGTTTCATCAGGAGCTTGCCCTATGGTTCTGAGATGATATTTGTTAAAGAATCATATCAATTTAGAATTTAGATTGATCTCTTTTACGTACAACAAAATCAATGTCAAATACTTCGTATTTTCAATGTTTAGAATTTGCATCAATGTGTAATTGTTTAGTACCTTTCTGCAAGTCACAATATCAGCTTTTTTTATGCTAATTACTCACATGCTTGTTAGTATTCTTTATTCAATTTATATCCAATGAAATGATTCCCGTGCAAATAACTTTGTTTTGTAGGTTACTTCCGACGAAGAGTTTCTGGAAAGAGTAATATCCCGAACCCCTCTCAGGAGGGTAGGGGAACCCGAAGATGTTTCGTCAGTGGTGGCTTTCCTTTGTCTTCCTTCTGCTTCTTATGTAACCGGCCAGGTTATTGCTGTAGATGGTGGTTTCACTGTGAATGGCTTTGAAAGTTAGAACCTTGAATGGGAGTAAAATAAAATTTTCAACTACTCCCTTGGCTTTCATTTCTGTGTCCATTATAGAATAAAATGAACATGAAAATATGTACTGGTATACTTTACCAAATTTTAGGCAGATAATAATGTCTCTCACTCTCTCTATATCCATGTATGTTAGTGTTAAACTGAGATGTTATGAAATGTTAGGAATGTATTAAAATGATTAATTTGTAATAAAGTGTTTTGCATTGTCTCAATTTATTTCATTAGCCAGGCAAATAAGAAAATAATGTTGCTCCCTTGTTCCTTTTTTTTAATCTTCCTTTACCATTTTTATTTAAATTTTGTGGTTCAAATTGAGGGCCCGTTTGGTATGATGTAAAGTAAACACTTTACACGCAAAGTGTGAGAAAGTAAACATTTATACTGTTTGTTTTAATTATTCGATGTAAACTGTAGGACATTTTGCTTAAGGGGGCGTTTGGTTCTTTGCATATTAAAACTTTAGATACAGTAATTTGTGAGTAAATAATTTTAACTACAAAGATTTTACGGAGCAGTTTATTGATGTGCCTCGATCAAGTCTAGAATATGAAATGGGGATGGAGAGAAATGCAAAATTGTGTTCCTACGTTTTGGTCTGACTTTAGAAATTGCTGTTTTTTGAAAGCAATTTTTGACAGCTCGTTTAGATCCATTGCAATTTTGTTTGTTTCGTGCACGTAATCTGTTATCTATATTAGTTTCTTTTTAATGGTTCCGTGACTCTAGCCGTGTCCATTTAGAAAACTGTTAATATCAAGTGTATAACTCCATTTTGAACTTCAACTTCAACTTTTAAAACAAAATGAAATTAATCTGATTAATTTCTTATAGAGGACGTGATTAATCTGATTAATCTGAAAAAGAAAAGAAAAGAACATACGGCATAAATTACTGGAATAGGCGAGATTCTATTTCGTTTGAAATGGAGATTGCTACAATAAGCGAGTCTCAAAACAAAGCAACATAAATAAATTACAAAATGATAGAAAAAATTGTAGGAATCTAAAACTAAGACACATTTATTTCACGGGTTATTAAACAGTGCTTATTAAGACTCGCGTTAATAAGCAGCGCATAAAATAAACAATGTTGTAAACTCATCTTTACTTCAAAAGATTTAAAACACCGTTTAACATTAAAATGTCCAAAATAACTCTATACATATGTAGACACACAAACATTCATGAACACAAATATATAACATAATATGTGAGGCTCACCTCGTACGCGTACCCATACCCTTACCCCCCACCCCACTATTCCCCTTTACCATATCCCGACCCTACCCCTTTACCCCCTACCACCTGCCCCTACCTCGACCCCACCCCGACCCCACGCCCTACCCCTACCCTTACCACAACCTTACCCTATACCCCTACTTCCCACAACCCCTCATACCCATACCCCTAAGTCCCTAACCCCTACCCTAATAGGGGATCACGGTGGGGTCGAGGTAGGAGCAGATGGTATGGGATAAAGGGGTAAGATCAGGGTATGGTAAGGTGTACAAGTTGGGGGTAGGGTACGAGTGGGGGGGTTATGGTTAGGGTAGCGGTAAGGGAGGGTAAGGGTAGGGGGTCGGGATCGGGGTCGATGTAGGGGGTAGGGTCGAGGATATGGTAAGGGGTGTGGGGGTTTGGGGTGGTAAGCTGGGCGGAGATAGGGTGGGGTCGGGATCGTGGTGGGGTCGAGGTAGGAGCAGGTGGTAGGGGGTAGGGTCGGGGTAGGGTAAATGGGTACAGTGGGTGGGGTATGGTCGGGGATAGGGGTGGTAGGGGTGGGGTAAGGGTGGTTTGGGGTTGGGGTGGTTTGGGGTCGCGATAAGGTAGGGTAGGGGGCGTAGTAGCAATAGGCTAAGAGCAATGTGTAAAGGTAAGGGTAAATTCGGAAACTGAAAAAGATTAAAGTGTCGTTTAATTAATACATGGGGGTGGTATGCTTAGTAAGCCGCACTTTAAGCATATCTTTCGGTTAGTAAGCAGCTTGCTTGTTTACTTCACGTGTCTTAGTAACCTAACTGTGACTTTAGCAGCGAAGTAAACACCTTCTTAGTTTTCAGATGAAGCAGCAGGGGCTAGATTGGTTGGAAAGAAGGACGAAGACATGGAAAGGAACGACGCAGTCAATGAATAAGGTGAGTTCGATATTTTATACCATATCTACGATCGTTTGATCTTGAAGGAAAAAGATAAAGAGGCCGTTTGGAACCACTGTTTTTCGGTTTATCAGCCAACTTTTTCACCAAACACGTAACTTTTGCTTTCGCGCGCTGAATTGTGTAATAAGCAGAGAAAGTAAGGTTGGAGTTAGTTTTCTTGCTGTATTGGCCGAAGTTACTGTAGATGATCATTTTAGCTATTTTTACATATAACTTTTTCTTTATTTTATTAATAAAATATATTTTTAAAATAATTTTTTCTTAAATCAGCAGAATCGGTCATTGCAGCCACTTCAGCCAGAACTTCATAAATTTCAGCAGAATCTTCCAAATCAGCCGATTTTTGTGCTACCAAACAGGCTCGAAGTGTTTGTCTCCCTCCTAAACCATCGTCATTGAATGAACATGTGATAGGGTTTGGTCAACGGCATTTTCTTGCTCTATTTTTGCTTCAAACTTTATTTTTCTTGCGCTCAACTTTTTACCTTGTTTTTGAGTTTACTAGATTCTCACTCGTGCGATGCACAAAACATAAATAAAGTAATAGATATATGTCCTTATTTGTTAATAAGGTTTAAATTATTAATTCATGGATAATAGCATGGAAATAGTCAAGACGTAATATACATAATAAATTGTAATTACATAAACGATATTTAGGATAAGGTTTCTACAAATTGGGACGGATCGAAAAGAAAAGTTTGATGTTTATTTAGGGACGAAGGTAGTATCATAATACAAATTCGTAACTATATAAGAATATAAAACTAACAATAATTACTATTATTGCATAATAATACAATTTTCTGATCAAAATAATAGCATATTACAAAAATTGTAAAATCTCATAAAATAGTTACCACCTGGTTACACCACGACGTCGATCGAATGTGTTTTGTGTGATTTGGATCATAATTTTCTGTTCAAGATAAACAACCACTACAACAAAAATCATTTATAGAGGCAACACTTTGAAGCAACTTGCCTCTAAAAGACCTTTTAGCGTCATATAAATTTTGGTTGTCTCTAATCTTATAAGCTCTCAATACATTTGAGGCAACTGTAGTTTTCTTGTTTCAAAAAGGTATTATTTGGGGCAACCTTTTCACGGCTGCCTCTAAAAGCTTGTTGCAAAAGCATAGTTGCCCCTGAATGTATTATTTGGAGCAATCTTTTTAGGGTCACCTCTGAAAGTTTATCGCAAAAGTATAGTCGCCCATAAGACATCTTCTTCAAAGTGTATATATCACTTATAAAGCGAATAAAGATGTTTTTACTTGGACTATAATTTGCTGGTCTGGTCTGGTCTGAACCGGTCTGGTCTGGTCTGGTAAGGTCTAATTTCTTTGTATTTTTATAACTATCCAAGTCTGGTCTGGTCTGGTCTGGTCTGGCCTGAACTGGTCCGGTTTGGTCTGGGACAAATTAGAGTCCAAGTAAAAACATCCTAATTTTGGGCAACCATTTTCTCACTTATGAATTTACTTAGTTGGTAGAATCTATTGACATATACTCCATATTTAAAAGCTTCTCATACACATGATACACATACATTGTCATCCCTGTTTAAGTATAATATTTATCTTTTGAGTACTAAAGTTGGTTTTGGTAAGAGAAAAGCTACATAAGCAACGTATTAAAATTCATGACATCTTAATGAACATGAATAAAAAGATATCATAAAATGATTGTAATAATTCATGATATGAGAATGAACATGAATAAAAAGATATCATAAAATCATTGTAATAATTCATGATATGAGAAAATGTTTTAATATAATCTCCAGACCAACTATATTAGTGACTTTGACGTACCATAAATATAATTCAATTTTATGTACTAATAATCAACGTCAATAGTTATAACAATTAATAGCAATAATAACATTTCTAATTAATAAATTACAATATTCTAATATCATTATAATGTAATAATCTTATAATATACGATAGTATAAAAAAATTAACACTTCCTCCGATTCATTTAAAGTGTATGCATGTGCAGTTGTGATAGATCTGTATATTTTTAGTATTTCTTTTAGCAACCTGTTGAGATCTATCATTTAGGTACACATTTATTTAAAAATATAGATTTCTAAAAACACATTTTCTGTCTCAGAATTTCGATAATATTTTCTGTTGTGATACGTTATACTTCGTACATATTAACAATGCATATAACAGTGACACTTTTAAAAATTTACTTCTACAAGATTTGCATTACCATTTATGTTTCATTTTTAAAACAGACTTCAAACTTTTCAGCTTCCTCATGTTTACACTAAAAAAGAAATTAAATGTGCTTATCGGTTACAATGGCCCATCCCCTAGGACTGCTGGATTCCCTGCCAGCCACCTAAATGGCCTTTGGAACTGCGTGGCTTGACAGTCCGTTGGCCTGAAGACTTTTAAGCTGTAATAAACCCTAATCCAGGATAGTCATATGACTATCTATTTGTAAATGCTATAACTATGTTGCTAAGATATCTCTGGAAACCACATTGTGAGTCATTTCTACATGGGTTGTGTTTTAGGCTCGAACATTGTACAATTTTCTCCTCCTTTTGTATAATAGAAGATATCCACTTTACATTTTGAAATGATTGCATTTCAGCAGTCCATTTTTTGCTCTTCACATTAAATGCATTATAAAGGTTTTTTTTCAAAAAACAAAGCATTAATGTGGTAATACATATCCAAGGATGAAAACACTATTGATATTTGATTCATATGAGTTCAATACTCTATTCAACCTAAATTTATCCAATCAAAGAAGACCCTCTGCTAGCCTTGGTAATTCAAATGAATTTTGTACTCTATTTCATTCATATAAATTCAGTACTTTATTTCTTGAGCTTGTCGTTTTGGATTGTGGATGTTAACATTAGTTGTAACATAAAAGAAGGCCTTCTGCTATCCTTGGTACTTCAAACATGAAATACCTAGTCTACCTTGTAAAGGCTGAAATAATAGTGCTCAAAATTTTGAAGTGTAACCCTGCCTTTTTTAAAAAGTGATTTCGTTGTTCCCCTAATTTGCACCCAATTTATGCGTTTACTTGTTTCCTACTGAAGTATTAGATTCTCAAAACTTT